CCTGTAGTATGTTATATAGGTTTTTGTGCATGTAAATGGTCTGGAAAGGCTAAATTCCCAGATCTCCCTCCAGAGGGAGTTTCTCTCCCACACACTCCCCCCCTGTCTTAAACACCTCTATTGGGCTCCTTTGTTTACGTCTGTTTTGTGTTGACCAATCACAACAGAAGCGGCCAGCTAACCAATCAGAGCAGACTGGGCTCTGGTTTGAGACAGAGGGTGAAATGAGGCGCTGCAGCACAGGCAGTATGAGAACAATAAAGACCTTTTTGAACGTTGAAGCATGGACATGTCACAGGAACAAAATACAAATATGTACCTTGAAATGAGCATCATATGCACATGTATTTTTTGGTTGTAGCCTTTATTATATTGTAGTGCATTGACATTATGCCAATTTTGGGGGATTTTCTCTCATTGCATAGTGAAGTGAATAATTCACTGAAGTGGACACAGCACATGTAAGTTTAATGTTATTGATCAATCATTAAAAAAGACATCGCTGAAACCATGATGCTATTTAAATAAACAAATATTTGAATGATTTATATTACATTGTTTTTCAAATATGAGAATAATGGCAGCGTTTTTGCAGGGGATGAAAATAATACACTATTATATTTATAAAAAATGACTTACAATGGAACTGATTACGTTTTGGTTTGACACTTTTGTGTGTCCTTCTCTTGACGTTATTAGTTTGTTGACAGTCTGTTTTTTATTGTCATAATAATGCTCAAGTATCCTTTCAAAACTTGAGAACATTTTGTCTTTTATGTTCACTAACTCGTGGCTCTGTCTTCCTATCGCTGAGTCAAAGCATTTCTCTCAGAAGAGAACACAAACAAGAAAGCTTCGCCTGAGAGGAAGCGAGCTTTGATTCACTGGGATTGATCAAACATCCTTTCAACTCCTGTTGATGTATTGTGGTCATTTTGTGTTATAGGGCAATAAAAAAGCTCCCTTATTGCCCAGGGTTACATTGGGATTAGCGATTTGGGGAAGCCCTGATTCACAGAGGCTGGCAGTGCTGTGACTGGATTGTAAAAAAACGGTGTCTGTCAATAATTGAAAAGCCAATGTGTATTTCAGTGTGTCAGAGTCAAGTGCCTTTTCTATAAAACAGCTCTTTGTTTATAAGGCCAAATAAATGGCTCTCTGACAATCATCCTTTTTAAGTCTAGGATTTAAAAATCAAGAAGTCTGTAACCTTCCTTAATACGGTATTTTAGTCATGTTTGCTGAATAAATTCACATGGCAACATTTGTATTGATCATAATTAGCTTGAGTGTATTTTGGCATCTGAAGGTCACAAAGAGAATAATTTGACTTTATACTTGTTAGTGTGCCCTGTTTGGCACACCACTGCAATGCATACAACCACTGAAAAACATTCACATAGAATATGAAGGGTTAATAGGAATTGACTTTGCCTCAGTGTTGGGGAAAGCACACATAGTGCTGGACGATGCTGTGGATTGCTGCATGTGGTGGTGTTCATTCTCTGTGTATAATGTTACAGCTCTGGGAAATCTGTGCATGAGATGAACCATGACACTCCAACACACAAGAGGCTGGATGTTTACGTTGTGAGGCTAAATGTTTGCTCTCCGTTCCATTTCAGCTGGCTGTGTGATTGAGGCTTGAAGCATAACAAGCAGAGGGCATAATTATCCATACAGGCAGAAGTCGGGTTTCAAACCCACCACCCCTCAAGAGTGCCAACAGAGCAGAGCCAAAAAACTGTCTGTCGGCAGTAATGATGAACAAAACAAAACGCTGCAACACAGTGCAACAAACTTAGGTGGGAAAAGTATGTTGATTACACTGTAATAACCTGTGGCATTTTTTAAATAATATAAATGATTGTACTGTAGATAACCTTTTCTTTCATTTGGAAGTTACCCAATCCACCATTAGAAAATGCAGTGCTGGCTTAAAGACAAGTGTAAATATATCTAAAAGTCTGCGATGATGTCATGTAAGTATAGGTAGCGTGTATCCAGGTCAGAATCACCACTGTCCACTCCAGAAACCTCCAAAAGCAATTTCACAAAGCACCTGATCGGAAAATACGCTAGTGTGAAGCCGGCGACAAGAAACCATATAATTAGATGTCTCAACCTCTCCTTAACAGTCTGCAGAAACACAGAATCCTGGCGCGCCAAACTGACCACATAAAGCTAGCACACACAATGACACTTTCCACTGCAGGACGTCGTCTGCACTCAAGCTGATTGCAAAGGCCACAGCAAAAGCCAGCTGATTGTTGAAATGAATGCAAGTATGGTACGCATTTGTATGGGAAGTAATATCTAGTCAGCAGCCTGCTTTGAATAACTAAACAGAGAGGAGTACAAAACAAACTAGCCAACCATTTCCTGTCAGTATGTTTTAACTGTTGCGTTAAATGCTTTGAATAGAAATTCAGATAGGAAGTTGCTGTGGGCACTGAAACGTTTGATGTTGCTCATGATCCTTTGCAGAGTGTCAGAAATATTATAGCAACATTTAACATATAGAAATATTTGTCTTTTGGCATATGCATGTTTTTTAAGTATATGTGCATCAGAAGCGTAAATAAACATCTCCAGTTTTATATGGAGCTGGGAACTGGTCACAATCTAAATGTACCCAGCAGCCTTTTAGTCTGTCTCATCTAAACCGTTTATTGCATTTTTTTTTTGTGTATGATTTTTGTTGGGCAGCACAAAGTGCTTTTTTTGGTCTCCGCCGACTCATATGCAAAATATCTGGGTCACAAGCTGATAATCTTCTCTATTTTCACCGGCTAGTCACTAAGTTGTCTGTGTGCTGTTTGCTTCTGGGAAGGTTAAATACAGAGAGTTTGTACCTGTCTGCTGCATTTAGAAATGATGCTGAGCCTTGAGAATGAATCAAAACAGCAAAGTTGTGGGCCCATAATAAAAAAACAATGGCTTAAAAGATGTTAACAGCCTTATATAGCAAAATGGTAAAGTGGCCGACAGGTGCAAATGCGCTAAAGTAAGATGGCCAACTTTCATTCTCGCAGACTTAGTCTGTTTCTTAATTGTAAGTGTTTTGTAAGTATATTTCAATTAGTTTGTTAGCGATGTAAGCTAGCTTACAACAGATCTGCATTGCAATAACTTAAGGAATCATGCAATAATATTGCTCAAATAAGCTAAAAAAAACCGTACTTTCTAGGTACGTTTCGAGTGACATTGATAAAGGTAACTTCCCAGGAGATTTGCTTGTCATTATAATAACATTTCAATAACTGTTAATGTAAAAATCATTGATTAGAGCAGCTTAAAGATGATGTTTACTTTTTCCCATTCTCGTGCAAACTATAGAAACTTCTTCAACAGAAAATCGATTGAAAACAAGGCATATTTTAAGGAGAAACCCCCTCCAAAGAGTGCTACACACCAAAGATGGAGACATACTTAATAAATGAAGAACCTCTTGCATTTTGCAAACACATTTGTATTGACACCAAGAAATCTTGCATTTCATACACATCTGGTTAAACAGAAAACATGAGACATGTACAGTATGTTCATGTTAACTGTGTAAATACCAACAAGTGTAACTTGAGAACTAGAGAAATGAGAGCATGAGTTTATCATAGAGTGGCGAAGTCCCTCCCCTTCCGGTGGACCTCCATGGGACCTTATTTAGAAAAAAATATGTATCATAGTCAATGGAGAGAGAAAGATTATCTTTCGATCCCGTTTGAATTGTGCCACGAATTACACATATGATGTTTGTCAATTTAAAAGATAATTTTTTAGTCAAGAAAATAAAAATGTGTCGTAAAACTGTGAAGTAACACATTTGTTTGTGTGAAACGCTCAATGAACTACAACTCTGGTCTCGTAGAACAACACACGTCACCAAGATGGCCGTCACTACTGTCTTGTCAACAAAACGATTGACTACCCTCACTATCACCACAATGAAACACGTCCAGAAGAATGTCATGCAAAGCTGCCTGCCTGCCTTCCTTTGAAGGCTAATAAAAATGACAAGGCTGTAATGCTAACTAACATGCTAGCTACTAGCTAGGTAGCTAACTTGATCCAGCCACTCCTGATTCTTTCATCAGACGGGAAGCGAAAGAACGAGCAAGACCCATTGCAACAAGATGCCTGTGTGCTTAGTACCAGGTTGTTATCATACGATAACAACCTGGTACTAAGCAGACAGGCATCTTGTTAAAGTTATCTTATCTTAGCCAGCGCCATATAGATAGATTATATCTATATGGCGCTGATCTTAGCTATCTCTTAGTGGAGGAAAACAATTGTGACATCACTTACATCACTCTGGGATTTGTAGTCTTTCTAGTTGCGTATTTTTCATAGTCTTATATTTCAACAGTTTTACGACAAACTGTGACTTTTTTGACATGGAAATTATTTTTTAAGATTGACAAACATCATATGTGTAATTCATGGCACAATTCAAACGGGATCGAAAGATACGTTTTCTCTCTCCATTGACTTCAATAGATTATTTTTACGAAATAAGGTCCCATGGACCGGAAGTAGATGGGCGTGCCTTCGACTCTCTATAGACAGGGCTGCACATAACTGGTGCGCATGCGCACCCCCCGCCAAAAAAGAGCACCGGATCATTTGAAAAAAGGCGCATTTCCGCACCAACATTGAGAGAGAGAGAGAAAAGAGAGATGAGAGATATTTGGGAGTTGCATAAGAACTGGTAAGATAGCAGGGTTTCCCACACATAGACTTTACTTGGGCGGGCCGCCCAGGTATATTAACGGCCACCAAAGTATAATTCGCGAGCCATTTAGGTTTAATTTTTTTAATCTCTCCGCGAGCACGACGGCATCTGTGATCCCTCGCTCTATCCCCTCGCTATCGCGTGAAGGGTCTGCTTTATGCGCTCCGCACAGTGCTGCGAGGCATACTGTTAGCAGAGTAAGCATAACTTCATTGCTGTTTAGCATCCAAATAAGCGGAGGAATAACGAAACATCAGAGACAGTGGCATTTCATTCATCGGACTCTCCCATTGGAGGCGTGGCTTTATTTATACCCATCATGACCTTTAACCTGTTACGCTATTGGCTTCCGGTCATGCACAACAAATAACACAAATTGGTAACACATTTACCTGAATGTTAACACCCCCACTTGATATCACATTTGTGTTTTATTTTTTTTAACAAATAAAAACATTATAAGGTTCTCTACCTTACAGAAATTGTTACTCTCCAAACATAAACTTTGCAAACTTAATCAACTTAAACTTTGGTGCAGGTTTTGTCATAACATCTGTCACCATCTGGTCTGTTGGACAATAAATCAGATTTGTTTTTCCCCCTTCCACAGTTGACCTCAGAAAATGATACTTAATGTCAATATGCTCGCATCTCTGTCTGTTAACAGGATTATTTGCCAACGCTATTGTGCCCTGGTTGTCTTCGTAAATCGTAGGTAGTGTATATGTAGCTCTCTTCACGACACAGACACAGGTCGGTTCTTTAAAACGGGCGTTTATTTCTTGGGAGTTTTCATCCTGTATCCTTCCCTCTTCCGTTACGCCGTGAGAACTACAACACCGAAATGACACGTATACATAGCCAAACATATTAGCATATTGTGCTACACATATGAATGAAAATAAGAAAATGAAAACATAAAACTAATACCTCGTTGGTCGCTTGTCGTGAAAGGAGATTCATTTAGTTCCTTTTCTGCATAACTTTGTCACAGACTTCTTGTCACATTAAAACTTTATCACAGACCTCAGCAGAGCTTCAAAAAAGACGTCAACCCAGGTTGAGTTGTACAGTGTAACAGCAAAACACGCAGTACCAGCACATGAACAAACATTAGTTCCTAGGCACAAGAAACACACACGCATATCGGTTTAACATGTAAAACAAACTGTATTAAATCATGCCATATTTAACGATTATAAAATATAACATGAAATAAAGTATTTATTTATCTAATTGAAGAACTATGACATTAATTGTGTTATTCTTTTTAATTAAGGCAACTTCGTTACGTCATTTACAGTATATTCACATTTGTCAATGCCCTCTAGTAGTTGTAATAAGTACATACACTCCTGCATAGTAGCTGCTAAAGCCATATACTCAGCTTCACAAGTTGATAACGCGACAGTTGGCTGCTTTTTGGTTTTCCAGAAAACAAGTGGCCCGCTCTCATTAAGGCTAACACAATAACCTGACATACTACGTCTGTCGGTTAGATCAGCAGCCCAATCGGCATCGCTGTATGCTTGTAAGCCCAGTTTTTCACTCTTACATTTCCGGTAACACAGTTCCCTGTCGATTGTACCTTTCAAATATCTCAGTACATGTTTTACAGTAGTCCATTGCTCTTCTGTCGGCTCAGAAAAATACTGGGACAGTTTACTGACAACAAAACTCAAATCAGGCCTCGTGCACACAGCTAGGTAGATCAGGCTACTCTGCTTCTCTGTACATTCTAACATCCTTCATCGGTACAGCATCATCTAAGTAGTTCAGTTTTTGCTCACAAGGTGTCGCTCTCGGTTTACAATCCTGCATGTTAAACCTTTCAAGTATTTTGTTCACATATTTCTTCTGTGACATCTTTACACATGAATCAGTTTGATCAAAATCAATGCCCAGGAAATGTTTTAGTTTCCCCAAGTCTTTCGTCCTGAATTTAGCTGTGAGCATCTCTTTAACAACTTTCAATGCATTGTTATCACTAGCTGCAATGATTATGTCATCAACCCATATTATCATTATCACTTTCCAGTTTTCAGTCTATTTTGTGTAAACACAATGGTCAGCAGGGTTCTGTAGGAACTCATTTTCACTCAGATACTCATGCAGCATTTTGTTCCAATTTCTGCCTGACTGTTTAAGCCCATATAGTGACTTTTCTAGCTTGTACACCAACTTTTCACCTTTACTGGATTTTACCTCAAACCCCTCTGGCTGTTCCATGTATATCTCACAGTCTATTGGTGCATGTAGGTAAGCAGTTTTAACATCCATTTGGTGTAAAATCAGATTTTCCTGTGCTGCTTTTTGCATTAACACTCTGATACTGGTGAGGTTAGCGGTAGGTGAAAATGTCTCATCATAGTTTTCACCCCTCTTCTGACTGTATCCCTTGGCTACATATCGTGCCTTGTATCTTTCGGACCCATCAACATTGGTTTTGATATCATACACCTATTTACCCCCCACTGCTTTCTCACCTTGAGGTAAGTTGGTCAGGATAAATGTGTCATTCTCTTTTAGTGATTGCAATAACCCATTGTTTTGACTCAGATGAAGTTACAGCTTCCCTAAATGTTAAAGGGATATTGCACATTAATCTGTAACAATAGTGAATATTTGTCAGTAGCTGATCCTCCCTTTCCTTACCACATACACCGTCACATAAGTAAGCTGGCTTCTTTCTCACTCTTGAAGGATAACGCCTAAGCTCACTGTTGTCGTCTTCTGTCTCTGTTACCACAGGTATAGATACTGGGCTAACGTTAGTGTCACGCTTGATTTTGCCAGATTTGTTCTGTACCTCAAAGTCATGAGACGGTTTCTGTTTGTGTTTCTCTTTCTGACTTGGTCTTGGTCACAAACTTCATAAGTCTAGATTTTTGCACTTTTCCACTGTGAGGGAAATAGACCATGTAGGCTAGACTATTTTTGTCATATCCAACAAAAATTCCCTCTTCACACCTTGAGTCCATTTTATTTTTGTCTTGCTTATAGGCATAGCACACTGACCCAAACTTGTGCATTCTGGACAGGTTAGGCCGTCTACCTGTCAGCATAAAGTAAGGTGTCTGTTTTATGCGGTTTTTGAAGCATCTATTCCTTACTACAGCTGCTGTCTGTACTGCATAGGTCCACATACTTTTTGGCATCTCATTTTCTATAAGCATGCACCTGGCCATGTCAAAAAGTGTGCGCCAATTCCTCTCAGCAGTGCCATTTTGATGTGGGGAATATGGTGCTGACTTTTCATGTCTAATCTTATTATTGCATAGTAATGCTTGGTAATGTTTCCCTGTGAACTCTGTGCCATTGTCTGACCTGATCCATTTTACTTTCCCGTATGGGGCAGTATTGGCCAGAAATCTCTCTGTTGTTGCACTGTGTCACTTTTGTTTTTAAGGAAATACACAAACACTGCACTGGAGTAATCATCTGTGAATGATAAAGCATACTTAAAGCCTTCTCTGGATTGCGGATCTAGCAGGCGGAGGGCGCGGGAGCAGTTGAGAGCGAGACGACCCTCTGTACCAAGAGCATGGGATAAAGGAAGCAAGTGTGCGGACATTGTTTGTTACAGATGCGGCCTGAGTGGACACAAGGCCGGAACGTGCCAACGTAAGCTGTGGTGCAGTCATTGTAAAAGCAACACGCATCGGGATGCGGCCTGCAGGCGGAAGCAGCGACGGGAGGACGACGCGCGGAAAGCTTCGGATGAAGCGACTGGTGAGGGGTATGCTTTCCGAGTCAACGACGTGGACAACAAGATCTAGCCAGCGCACACCGCCACCAGAGGACAACGTCATGAGGGCGGTGTGCGCATTCGCTCAGTATCCTCATAGCTGCGGAGCTTAGTCTTAAATTCAGCAAAACTTATTGTCTGGTCAATTTGCGTGATGTGTATTGCGAATGGTTTAAATGATTCTGGTAGTCCCTTAAAAACCATTGCTACAAGAAGCCCATCACTTAATTTCTCCTCCGCGTTTCTCAAAGCGGTGATGGCGGTCTCTGCACGTATTATATACTCCGTCACACTTTCACTGCTTGACTTTAGGAGTGATGTCAGTTTAGTATATAGGCTGATAATACGTGGTTTACCTGTGCCAGCATAATAGTCTCTTAAAATCTTCAATGCCTGCCGACCATTATCCGACGCCTCCCTCATTACAAGGGACACACTTTTGTCATCAAGAAATTGGATAAGCTCTGCATAAGCCTCTTCATTTTTCCCTTCATCGTCCGCCTCTTCATCTTCCTCAATTATGTCCGTAGGACTCCTTAAAATAGTATTCTTCAGTCCCTGTAAGCGAAGATGGCCCAAGAATTTTGTCTCCCACAGTTCATAGTTATTTTCATCCCCGTCAAACACTAGCCGAGACCAGCGGCTACTGGAACCTGCGCCCAACCTGCTCATGGCGGTAGCTTAGCTTGCTAATCCACCACACGTGCTACGTTGCGACTTTCCATTGGTGGACAAACGCCGGAAATACTTATTTGGGTGTCTCTGGGCCCATAACCTGTTAGCAGAGTAAGCATAACTTCATTGCTGTTTAGCATCCAAATAAGCGGAGGAATAACGAAACATCAGAGACAGTGGCATTTCATTCAACGGACTCTCCCATTGGAGGCGTGGCTTTATTTATACCCATCATGACCTTTAACCTGTTACGCTATTGGCTTCCGGTCATGCACAACAAATAACACAAATTGGTAACACATTTACCTGAATGTTAACACATACAGTGAACAGCGAACAGTTCATGAGCGTGCTCACTAGCGCACCTCCCCCCCCCCCCCCCCCCGTTCATAAAGTCAAGTACCCCTCAAAAGGTCCGGTTTTTTTCATTTTAAGGATGTGCACCAAGCAACATCTCCAGGTGCTCCTTTGAGAACCAGGGCAAAAAAGTTATGGGCACCCCTGATTATAGATGAAAGAAGTCAAGCCGGCAGACACTTGAGATTCTGACATTTTAAAGCCTGAGGCAGCACAGAGAAAGTGCTGTTGTGTGGGATCAATACAAGTCATTACCATTACTCTAATGATGGCACGAAATTATGCAGTGAGATGCTATTTTAATTCCTACTAACTGTGATAATGCCTGTGCTTACTCGTCTTGTAGTATATGACTTGGTAATCAGGGAGTGAAGGAAAAAGAAAAACACATATCACCTCAATTACACCATATCTTTACTCTATTTAATAATGTTTATAATAATCTGTGTTATAAGACTTTATAAAAATAAAGCTTTCTGCCTCTGCAGATTGTTGTTAACGCTTGATGAAAACATTGATAATAAAAAAAGTTGAATTGTATCAAAGACAGATTTTTAAGAATGTGCATGCCCAAAAGTGTAATGGTGTTAATATGACAAAAATAAATGCAGGCTGCTCTCTCTCAAATAGCAGCTGAAGGACATTTCACACTAACTCAAGAGGAAGCGGCACAATTGCAAGAAGCAAAGAACCAAAATCTTCCTGTTAAACACTTATAATCCCACGCCACATGGCTGACAATTCCCAGTGCTGTGCACAGGGCATGTTGTTCTTGTTCAAGCGGGGGGGGGGAAATTGCAACATCTTGCCCTTGTAAGCCAAATGCAGATGTTAGCTAGACATTTGGCATTCACTCTTAACAGAACCCATAGGACAAAGAAACATGCGGTTAATTGATTATGAGCGCGTTTACCTGACCTTCACAATGTTTGTAAAGTCAGATCAGGGGCAGTGACAGAGTTTAACGAAATACATTTCTTATGAAGAGGAACAAAAGACGTATTGAGAACAGCCAGTAATGCTCCTTGGGACTAGCACGTTCTTTCAAATTCAACCAGAGAGACTCTCCTACCCTTGGACTTTGTGCTCAAAAGGCCACAGTGATTACCATTTCCTATGTTAGCCATCAGCAAGGCTCTCACAGATAAGCAGTGGAGATCTTGATTCTAACTCAATTAAATCTCAGGGGTAAACATCTTGGTACAACCCTACAGATTTATATTAGCATTTGTATTGTGCAGCTCTGTTGTTGGCCAAAGCTGCTAAGCCTTATCTGTCAACACAGG